CTCTCTCTCTCTCTCTCTCTCTCTCTCTCTCTCTCTCTCTCTCTCTTTTTCTTTTACGAAAGATGATCGATCGGACGAAGAGGTGAGCATACGATTGCAAGGATGTGTAGAGAGAAAAGGGAAACGATAGAGATTCAGGTTTCGATTATATGTATACAAGGAGGAGGAAGGTATTCGTGGCACGATGTTACGCTCGTTATGCTGGAACGAAAGCGGCTCGCAAAAGGATAGCCCGGGGAGCAAAGGGTAAGGATGTGATAGTCTTGACTTCGGGGGAAATTTCGAATGTTGAAAAAATGAAAGAGAGGAGATAGAGATACATTTGTTGGAGTATTTAATGTATACATATTTAAATTTGTATACGATTACGAAGGAAAATAAACGACGCGTTTCTCGATGGATCGTTACGGGGATACGTGTAACAACAACATCCGTGAAAGAAGAAGCATGGAGGTGGATAGATTCGCACCGACTATACCGATGTTGCTGCCGCAAACTACGTACCACACGTACGTATACCAACTCGGTCATCACCATTCCGAAATCACTACCACTATCTGCCATCGCTTGCCATTACCTACCACTACCTTCCTCCACTACCTACCACCACCGACCGCTACTTACCACTACCGTTACCACAGCTGACGCCATCTCCGAGACCTACGGGCGACTTTCATGAATGAAACCCACGTGCGAACCACGTGACCGTTCCTGTCAAAATCGTGATCTCTAATTTCCCTCACCCCCCCTCCTCCTCCCCCCACTTCTTTTTCCCCTCGATTTCTCGTAATATCGATCATCGCCCGCCTCGATCGTCGATTATTATAATTACGTTATTCTTCGATACGTTTCGCTTCGATTATTATATATGATACGTATGAACACGGAAATTTGGAATTTGGAAGACGCTTGATCGATTCGATCGAATGATCCATCTATTTTTTTTTTTTCGAACAAGAAGGAAAAATCTTCTTGGAAAAAACCTTCTCTCCGTCCGCACACGTACGAGCGCATATTTCTTGGATGACGTACGATGAGATGTAAAGCATTTTTCGAAGGATTTCTCGTAAAAAATTATCCATTATATAAATGGATGAACAAACGGATGAGAGAACGATAGAGAGAAAAGGATCACTGTTGCCTCGGCTATCGTTTCATCTCCATCCCCCTACCACGGCGATATTACATCTACCTTTACCACCACCATTGACAGTATGTTCAACATTGGCAACGATGGTGGTGGTGGTGGTGGTGGCGGCGGTGGAGGTGGCGGCGGCGGCGACGGTGGCGGTGGTGACGGCGGCGGTGGCACCACCGCCAACATTACGATCGTCCTGCTTGCTTTCGCTCTCAGCATCGACGTTGCTGTACCGGTGCGCAGTCGGTGGTCGCGGTCGGTGTCAGATGGTTAAAAGGAACAGATTCGAGAGCGGAGCGACACTCATAAAGGATAAACACGTTGCTAGTTGATCCACGTGCTCCGGCCTCGCAGCCGGCAGCCGGTTCCAAATCTCGGGATTTTCGATTCAGCCTCGATTCGATGGGAACCTCGAAAAGCGGATCGAAGCGGTGAAATAATGTGTGATATAAAACGCGGGGAAACGAAAAAGCCGCGCAAATTTAATCGAATCGGGGATAAATTCGTATATGATTCTTTTCTTCACGCGTGTGTATCATCGGCCGTAATGTGTAAGCACGATAACGTCGAAAACATTGTGAAAGAAGAAAGGAGGAGAAAGAACTGATGATTAAGAATTTGAAAAAAAAGAAGGAAGAAAGATTCGAGGAGTTAGTTGTGTTCACATTAGTTGGAGAAGGATATTACGGTGATTTTTATCCTTATCCAAAATCGAAAATGTTGCTCTTTTCTTTAATTGAAAATTGGAATTGAACGCGCTCTACTATCTCTCTACGTACTATATATATATATATATATATATACGTAGAGTCGTGGATTTGATCGATCGATCGTATTATCGATTCGATTTACGATCCGAGTATAAAATATCCGAGTATAAAATCTCGTGGACGAGAAGAAAGAGAAGGATCGTGGTGTGGTCGATGTGAAAGAAAGAAAGAAGGAGAAGCGTAACGTTGAGAAGAAGAAGAAGAAGAAGAAGAAGAAGAAGAAGAAGAGGAGGAGGAGGAGAGGCGCAAGGTGGCCGGGGGCGAGGAGGTGACCACCACGGCAGAAGCCGCGGGACGATGAGCGACGGCATAGTCGGTGCAATTGCGATCAGTTTGTTTGGTATCGGTCCTACACGAATATTTTATTTCGTACATTCGTTCGAAAGGGGAAAGATTTTTCACTCATCGAAGCCTCGTTCCAGGCAGCGAGAAGAAACGTCGAGACAGCATGGATGCTGGTTACACGATACTCGGCAACGATATCGACGTTTGCAGAATGTTCGACCAATTTTCTTACAAGGTTAGTTTTTTCTTTCTCCCTCTCAACGGGGCGCACATATCTCTCTGCCACACGAGAGACAATTTATTCCGCACGAACTGTGTATCAAGCATGCACTCTTCTACTCTATCTCGTCTCATCCGTTTTTTTTTTCCGCTTTCGTCTCTTTGTCTCGATCGCTCTTGCACTCGACATCGATATATTGCTATATTTCGTTTATTGCTTAGTTTCTTCCCTCCCCTCCCCCCTTCGATTAATCACGCATTTAATTTCCCGCAATTCTCGCGAATATTAATTATCTTTGGCTTATCACCGAAATATTTTCGAGGAAGGAATATTAGAATTGTTGTTCGGTGGATCAAAGTTAAAAAGTATCGTTTCTCGCCAATCGACCGATTAACACGTTTTCGCTACTCGAAATTTTCTTCGATCGAATCTTCTTATCGTCTAAGATAAAAGCACAGAGAGGAATATCGGGATATAGATTCGTAGCTTGGATATCGCGCTACCTTTATTTCCGTATTCCGGGTATATATATATATATATCTATATATATATATATATACCTTCTTTGACCGTTTCAGCTTTTCATTTGGTCCTCTTGGTGGTTGAAACAAAATGAAAGGCAAACCTATACTACTGGAGGGAGTTGGTATCCATAAAAGAATGAATAAACGTAGATTGGAACGGCATAAAAAAAGCGTGTAGGTCTGTGTACCCTTGAGCCAGAGAGAGAGAGAGAGAGAGAGAGAGAGAGA